TAATCCCTTACCCAAAGGAGATCAATTGCAAAATAATACCACCTCTCCACTTGATAGTCAGTGGGGAACCTGAAGCCATCCACTGTATCATCAGTTCAAAGACATGATCCGTAACTGTGGAAATTGCTCCATAGAAGTGAGGACAAACCAGTCATGATTTCTTAACTTGGGTTGAAAACTGTGTGCTTCATGTAATTTACTTGTAAATTGATTTCTAAGTGGTGAAAATGTTTGACTATGTGTTACATTGTGTCATTTTCCTTTTTTTGTGTGTAAGAGTGCATAATTCCAGTCCTGTTTTCCATCCTACAGCATGGGTCATTATCACTCACCTGAGTTCTCCTTTCTAAACTCATCCTCCTTAAAAAAAAAAAAAAAAAAAAGGCGGGGGATATACATATCTACCTGGGGCACCTTTCCAGTTTTATTTCTTTTTATTTGGTACTTGAAACAAGTACCCAAAGGTAAGGATTCAACCAATTTAAAACAAAAGAGAGACATAATATGCCACATGACTATAGGCCAGTGTTAGAAAAACTTCTATGTAGTCACTTACACTTTATTTACAATAGCAAACAACTCTCCACTCTCGGACCAGAACAAGTAGCCAATATCCCCACAAAGAATCAAAATCATTTTCGGAAGAAAAGCATGTTGCTTCTCTGTGCAAATGTTTATTTTGTGTTCCAAAATATCATTAAAGTTTTAGGTAGTTGTATTCATGAGCTCAGGAAATACATTCTCAATTGGAGTTGGGTTTTATTAATAGTAACTGGCCCAAATTTGCTCTGCTGAAGCATGAGTTTGCATTTGCTAATGGCACATACCATTGCGCATGGAACTTCTCATGCCCACGGCCTGGTTCATTCCAGAGAAAAATGAACAAATTCAGGGGTGAGGGTCCTCATTCATACTTACAATGGGGCTATGCTTCTAGAAAAGGCAGGATAGCTGCTATTATCAAATCAAATGCTTCCTGTCTCACTGAAATATTCAGTTTGAGCTACAGCACTAAAGAGAGAAATACTGCAAAATAACTGTTTTCAGAACCAGCTTAGTTATTCCATCAATATTTTGATAAGGGTAGAATGACTAATTATCAAGAGAGATTCTTCCAAAGAAATGGCCAGAGAATTCCAGGCTGGAACATTTGGTCACTTTTTCTATTTTAGAAGACTGGGGAAAGAGAGAGAATAGTACAACAATGATTATATGGGAGGAGCCTTTTAAAATAAGGATACCTAGCTACATACAGAGAAGGTTCCAATTAACTCTTAGGCATTTCCAAGGGTTGGAAATTGCAGACATTTCCAGGGATTGAGAAAATTTTATTCAAAAATAAAGCCTAATTTAAAAAATTATAGTATATAATTTATTTTACCTTACTTTTATAAACAATAGTTTTTATAAATGATGGTTTATAAAATTGTTTGTTTCCTTTTTATTACTTGGAAAAATAATTTCATAAAAATAGGATATTATTTTTCCACATTATTTTTTTACTTTTCCCATTCTCATACCGAACTGAGATTTTCTCTTCCAGGAGTTAAACCCATTGACCACACAGACTCTGTCAAGTGGGGATGATGTAAAATAGAAAAGCTTGAATTTTCTGAGAGCAGAGAATCATGGGATTTGTGTGTATTTCAAGCATTGACTATATCTTGTTCTAGACTTTTGACAAGACAAGATGCTAAGCATAGGATCACATCACTGTCCCTATTACTTCATATTGTTTATACTTCAGGTAGTAGTCATAGAATGTCCCAGTAGAAATTCCAGTGTGACCCATTATTTTAGTTTAACTCAGCCAACTTTGAATTAAAAGCTGATGGTTAGCCAGGTACAGTGGTGCACGTCCATAATCCCAGCAGTTTAGGAGGCTGAGGCACGAGGATCTCAAGTTCAAAGGCAGCCTCAGCAAGTTAGTGAGTCCCTAAGCAACTTAATGAGACCCTGTCTCTAAATAAAATACAAAAAGGGGCTGGGGGTGTGAGTCAGTGGTTAAGCACCCCTGGGTTCAATCCCTGCTACCAAAAAAAAAAAAAAAAAAAAAAAAGAAAAGAAAAGTAATCGTTCCAGATCCCTAAATTTTCCCAAGGGCTAAGGGTCCATTTTTCTTTTATCTTTGTTTTTTTCAGCTTTACTTCTCTGAAATATCTTCTAAGTGCATGTTTTAATTTGCTGATCTTCTCCTTTTACCTTCTACTTTCTCTCTCCAATCCAGCTTCCTTAAAAAATAAATGTACTGTCAGAAACCAAAGCTTTGCACACTGGGGCCCCACAGCCTTCGAGAGCAGTGACTGATTCTTTCCCTTGTTCCCTATGTTCCACTCCTAATTTAGGGCAATTCATTCTATGATTTTATGACTGAGTGATAGTATCTCATGAATAACAATGAAAGAATGAAAAAATATCCTATTACTGCACACTCCCTTGCAAAGTAGGGACATATAAATGCAAAGATAATTGCCATTTAAAATCAAAGTCTCCTTTTTCTTCTTCTTCTTCTTGTTTTTTTTAAAAATACAATCAGTTGAAAATAAAAACTAGTAAAAACATACATTCCACTTTAGGCATTTAAAAAATTTAGATTCAGTCTGGTTAATGTAAATGGGCTTTGACCCAAGGATACGATCAATTAGAGAATGTTACTGATGTTTATAGAAAAAGGAACAAGATTTGTACTTAAAGATTGACAATATGCATTAGACACAAGAAGATATCTAATAAAAGGAGATCAGTACATATCCAGTTAGGGACTCAGGGATCAATTGTGCTTTTAATTACTCAGCACAGCAGGAGCCTGATCTCAATAATCCAAACCATGTAGGCAAGTCTTGATTCTATGGCAAAAGTGATCTGGGTAGTTGGAATAATTAAACATCTCAGATAATCCCAAACCCTTATGGCAATAATTCATTAAAATCTCTTTCCTTAGAGAAATGGTTTTCTAAGCACCACAAATCATTACAAAACTGTCTGGCTTATGCCTCCTCTCCTTTGATCATCCTGCTGAAATCTCTGGGGAAGGTCCATGCAGAGCAGTGAAATAGGCAAGTCAGGAAAGAAGGGGAAAGGGTCAGAGGCTCAAGGAGAAGCTACAAGTCTCCCAGCAGACCTCAGGGCTATGCATGAGACCATCAGGGGCAAGCCTGCACTGGAGAATAGCTGAAAGTAGGATTTACATCTGAGTTAAGTAGCAGAGATCAGTTAAGCTGAAAATTTCCTAGTGTGGTAACCATGTAGAACAACTACGACTTAGACATTTTGTTTTCTTCTCCACTGTATCCTGCTGCACTTCTATTGGCCTTCAAAATACCAGCAATGCAGGAAAAGACTCTTGAGGCTGGGGACATAGCTTGATGAGCATTTGCTTAGCATGCCCAGAGTCCCAGTCAATCACACACACACACACACACACACACACAAACACAAACACAAAAATACAAGAAAAAATACAATTGAAAAATTGCAATGCTCTCCTCTTTATTTTTCGTCATTGGGCATACCTACCACTTTATCAGTCACAGCCTGGGCTAAGGATTTACCTATTACAGACTGCCTTTGTAAACTTCAGATTCACTGAGTTTTTTGATCAAATATTATTTTCAAAACTTTGTTACAAAACCTAGAAAAATGTCTGCCAGGACCAGTCTTCATGCTCTTCATTCAAAAAGATCTAGAAGACCCTTCTTTCTTCTCACTCTCTCTCATAACAATCTCTCAAAATCTGTGCTTATGCATGTACTCAACAGTGATTTTCATCAGGATGTTACAAATACATTTCCCATAATGGATAAATAAAATCATTCTTTGAAATACCAAAGGACTGATAAAGTGGTAGGTATGCCACAGTGACTCACAGACAATGGACCCAGAAAGGGGTTTTCCTCTCTCCGTGACATTCGCTTTTGCCCTGGATGCAGCTTGGAGGAGAGGCAGGTGTGGATGGCAAACACAAACAGTGAGGGAAGAGGGGGACCCAATTTACTAGGACAATCAGCCAAATCCATCTGGGCAATCAATATGTAACCAGTACAATAATCTCATTGTTGATGCATTATGGAACTCATGCAAAAAAATATTTCCTTTCTTTCTTCTTTCCATGAGTGCTTCATATATCCTATTCCAGATATTTTTACCATGCAAAAGGCTCAGTCTGCCTGCCACAGCTCGGAAGTCCAGTAGTTGAGAAGGGCAGTTATTATGAGAGGGATAAGAAAATTATTATGATGAACTAGCTGACTAGAAGATCCCAGTCACTCTAAAAGAATCATCTTGCCAGGAGACTGAGTTATGTATTGTTTATATAGGAGATGATGATCAGAGTGGTGGGTACCTTCTCACAGGTGGCAGTAAGTGGCCAAATGATGCCCATCTGATTCCAATCACCTAGCTTTGAGTTGCTGTTCAGTTCTGCAAATCTTACAGGGGAAACCTATGTGAGATCTGGTCTCAGCTCATCTTCAGTACCTTGAGAGGTGCTGATAAAAGAGTAGGGAACATACATTCAGGGTTTGATCTGGAGGTAAGAAGTTCTTAGGAAAGTCACACAGTTAAAAAAGTAAAGCAACAACAACAAAAACAAAACAGTCAAATTGGTGCATTCAGCTATTTTATAAGTTGCAACTAATTTAATTTGGGGTCTCTGTGGTATTCAGGGAAGATTTCCCCTAAAGGAGTGAGACCTGAAGGATGGATAAGTTAATCAATGAATAGCACAGATGGGGAAAGATGAAGGACAGGAAACTTTCAGAGCAAAATGGATAGAGAAAAAGCCTCATAGAGCATGACTCCCATAAGGAGCAGAAATAAAGTTGGTCAGGCTGGAACATAGAGTGGCAAGGGAGAAAATGGGTGATGATGAGAACATAGATGGAAACAAGAACCAGAGCATAAATATTCTTGTGAGCTAAGTATTTGTGGTACAAAACCCCAGGTCCTCCAGTGAGGAGTATGCAAGTCCATTTTACTTTCAAGTACCCCATTGTTTTCTTTGGTGGTGCTGGGGATTAGAACCCAGGGCCTTGTGCGTGAGAGGCAAGCACTCTACCAATTGAGCTACATCCCCAACTCTACCCCATTGTTTTATTTCAAGTGCTATGATAAAGATTGGCTAGCTGTTCACCAAATCTAATTCCTATCCCTCCTAATGTGTGATAAGACAATGTTGTCCAGTCTCCCTTGGGTGTATCTGAGTTCTATCAGCTACAGAAACATGCTTTTTCTAGGCAGAATGGAGACTTCCACATGTACAGACATCTGGATATTGATATTCCAAGTGACCTTAGAAGATGGAAAAAAGCAACATTCACCCAGTACCACCACCACCACCACACACATGTGTGCACACACATATGCATTATCACACTGAGTGGAGTTATAAGAAATCTATTTCTATTTTTCTAAACCTTCGAGATTCGGTATCACCTATTACCAATGATTCTCAAAATAGGGTTCCAGGGCAGCAGCAGCAATGTCACTTGAAAACTGATAGGAAATGCATTTCTGAGTTCCATCCCAAAGCTAATGAATCAGAAATTCTAGAGGTGAGCCCCAAAGTCTGTAGTTTACTAAGACCTCCGGGTGTGAAGGGTTAAAGTTTGAGAATATTACATTGTTTCACACCATCATTGACAAAAGTAAAGTGCAGGTAATTCAGGGAAGCTGAACCCAATTCGGGGTTTCCTTGGTCAACTCAAGGCTCATACAGTGCCAAGACATATAATTGGGCCCTTAGTTATTTCATTCTGCTGTGGTATCTTTCCAATTTCTTTTCTTTCTTTTTTTCTTGACATGCTGGGGTTTTTCCCCTTCCATGAAAAATGCTATTTGACTTCCTTATGCAAACTGAAAGGACATGTCAGGTGGCTATTTTTTGCATCTTCCTTTTCACATAAGACCTGAATGGTCCCTGCAGGGAGACTAAAATTCCCAAGCTATTCTGAAAACATTTCTTCCTCCTCCCCCACCTCCTAAGGCTGTCCTAAAAGTGTTTTAGGCTGTGAGATCTCCCTTCCAAACCTTGTTGAGTTGTATTTTCCTCTTCCAATCAAACTCAGCTGGTAGAGAGGAAGGAGCACAACCCAGAATTAGGGACAGATAACACAATAGCAAGGCATGTCTGCATTTTCAATGATCTCAGCAAATCTCCCTTCTCATGCCTGCTATGAAACAAGGAAAACTGGACCCCTAAATGTGATGTTTTCATGTATTTTGCTAAATCTGTTCTTTATGGTTTAAAATTTCTGTCTTGCTTTCAGTGAATTCAAAATGCATCCCAAAGAAAACAAAGCAAAAAAAGATAAGCAAAAAATTGGAGGAAGATATCTACAAAATAGAACTATAAAGAAGTATGAAAATATATAGAAATATACACATATATACATATATATAGATATATACACATATATACATAACTCTGATATATATATATGGAGAGAGAGAGAGATCTTACTAATAAAAAAAAAAAGATTCCAGTTGAAAAATTGGAGAAGGGGAATAAGAGTCATATAAAGAAAAGTCAACACATTTAGCTAATAAATGTATTCAGCCAGGTTGGTGCTTGAGAGAAGCAAACCAAGACCTCAAAGACAAGCAAATCAAGACCACACAAGACACACCTTGATTTCAGTTAATTGGCAAGAACAGTCAAGCAATACCAGGCAGAATCCATAGGATTTCTCATACAGTACTCACTGAAGGATAAATTGATACAACCACTCTTAAAACTATTTAGCATTATTTTAATGGTTGGCTATCTAATAAGGTTGCTATATCCCAGGAATTCTTATTCTCTGCCAAAAGCAACTTTTGCTCATGTGTTCAAATGCCATATTACAAGGGGATAATAAAATCTGGGAGAAAGTTACCTCGGGGAAGAAACAAGAGGATGAGATAGGGGAGCTATAAATGGACATAAGTTCTTGGTAAGGTTCATATTCTTGAGTAGCATGCTGGGGTTTATGGGTGCTCCGTAGTAAAAATAAAACAAACTTGGACTGGGGTTGTGGCTCAGCGGTAGAGCGCTCACCTAGCACGTGCGAGGCCCTGGGTTTGATCCTCAGCACCACATAAAAGTAAAATAAAGATATTTTAAAAATAAAATAAAATAAAACAAACTAGAGCTTTGTATGAAACAATGACAGTGCATTTCATGAACCAAGCATCATAATTCATGAAAGTCTGAGCACATGAAACCCATTAAGAAGAAAACAAAAGTAACTTTAGATTTTGTAAATGAAAAACTTTCTAAAACAGATATGATTTATTCTAAATTTATAATTTATTATTATTAAAAATATTTCAAAATTTGACTCTTTTTTTTTGACAGTTTTACTCCCCTGAGGCATTGGACGGAGTTCATATAATGGAAAAAATGATTAGTGAAAACAAATAAGCATTTGATTGGCATATGAAAATATTATCCCATTATTAATGATAAGTCATTTAGGTTTATACTCTTAAGGGGTTTTCATTTAAGCAGAATTATAGGATTTTCATAAGTTATCTTGAAAATTAATAAATTAATATAGCCCACATTTTGCAGGAGGACTGAGATAAGTCAGTTTGCATGGTCAGCTGCTTTCTGGTCATTTATCTTAAGACAAAACAATTTTTCCCATTTATTACTTTTGAGACAAGAGCATTATGTACCATCTGGCTAACTTCCCCATGGACATACAGAGAAGAGATTTTCACTCTTTTAAAGAAATCAGATACATCCTAAAAAGCATCAGTGAAGGAAAAGCTAATATCTAAACAATTCACTCAAGGAATGAAACTCCCTTATAATGCCATACCTGGTTAAATGCTTTTCTCCAAACCAGAGCATTATTGGTGGGTCATATTGGGTAGCTCTTGACCAACAACAGGACACATTTCTTATACTGTAAATTAGTGCTCTTGAATAAAGATATTTTCCTTTGTGTGCTTTTGAAGCCTGATAAAAATTTAATTTTACTTCTTTAACTTGTAAAATAATGAAAATACTATAGAAAGAGAAACTAGAGAAAAAAATGAACAAATATTAGCATGTCATAAACCCCTGAAAACCATCATATGATTTTTTGAGCATATAAAATTAAAAGATCATCCTTAGTGATAAAGACCTGACTATATTAATTAAAATAATTAAATATGACTTCAGGAAAGTTGTTCTTTAGTAAATTTACAGGCAGGAAAAAACAATATGAAATACCTAAGTAGATTTTTCTAAAGGGAATGATACTTTAGATAGATTTTAAGTTACTATGCTTTAAATAATGGCCACAGTTTATATTTTATGGAATTTTATTTTAAAATAATTACATTTATAATTTTACAAAGAAGTTCTTTATGTGCAAAATAAAACCACAGCTATAAATAACTAGAGTTAAATTAAAGATCAATTATTTGTATCATTATTTATATTAAGCAAAATAAAGAATATATTTTCAAAGAATTATTTAAATCATGCTATATCATTAAAAATTGCTATTAAGTTAGCTATTAGTCTTTGCAGTGTTTAATTATTTCGTAGACATTAAAATTCATGTTTTCTCACAAATTGTATGAGCAAAGGTTTACAACATATTGTTTAAAATACATAAAATAAACAATTAATGAAAATTAGGTACAGACATTACTAGTTTAAAGAAAAAGGTCAGAGGGCAGGTCTATCAATGTTTCATTATTACCACATCTCCATATTGGAACAGCAAGTAGTATTGTTCTATATGCCCCAACTTTTTAATAGAAATTACACCTGTCATGATAAGTGTCCTTGGGAGAAAATGTTTGTTCCTATTATTCATCATGGCCTTACAACTAATTCCTATAAACAGATTTGTTAAATCAAAGAACATTTTCAGAACTTCTTTTTTAAGTGCCAACGAACAGAACAGCTCAGTCATGAGGATATAAGAGTGCTTCTAAGACTGGGGCAAAGGACAGGTAGCTGATTATCAAGGAAAATGAGTTGTTAACAGCTAACCTCCAGTTCCTAGTGTAACTGGTTGCTAACACCTTCAGGGGAGGAGAAAGGAAGAGAAGGTAGAGTCTATAAAAAGGCAAGACATGTCCAATCCTTCGAGCACCAACTCTGGATCCAGGCTTCTCTCTGGAGAAGTCTCTGTCTCTCTTTTAAATAAAACTTGCTTTCTATGCTTGCCTCCGCATTTCTCTGGTTTTTAATCTTTAACACCAGGGGAATGAGGACCCAGTCCTGATTGCCAAGATGGGTATGTAAAGAAGGGAAGATGATAGAACAAACCGTTAAAAGTTGAGCTCCCTGTTTTCCTAACATGGTTCTAAGATACCATTGTGTTTTATGGCCACTGCACAAAATTTGTGGAAGAACTGAGAGGGCTGTATTGACTCAGAGGCTGCTGCTTTTAAGATGGTGACAAGGGAGCATGTGACAGTGGTCCACTTCACCTTTTGAATATAATCCTTGCTACTTATTTTAAGAAGGACATGTTTTTCTTTTCCTCTTCTCCCTCTCCCCTTCCCTAACCTGGGGGCAGGGAACCAAGTTACCTTGAGGTATCTGTTCTCCATAGGAAGGAGACATCACCAGAACAAGTAGGAAGTGACTATCTCCCAAATTAACCAGTGAAATTCAACACAGCATCCAGGTGCACCTAGGACCCCCTGCCGGGCAGACCTGCAATGTAGCCTTGAATAGCTTCTTTTAAAGCCCTCTGTTTTCCCTGAGGGGTAGAACCACAGACTCTAGGATTGGAGTCCCTGTGTTTCTCCTTTGCTAGCAAAGCAATAAACATTCTTTTTCCTTTATCTCAAAACCTCATACGTCCTCATTATTGGATTGGCATTGGGGACAAGGACCAAGTTTTCGGTAATGAGCATAAAAATTGCCCAATATTTTCTCTGATTAGGAAGCTTTGTAGAGATCCCCTGGGAAATAGAATCCCCACTAGTTTATGTAGCCAAAGTAAAGAAAGTCATGTCTACTCTAAGTGAGAACACTCAGCAGTTGCTACCCTTGGTCTAGTCTCACTGGCTTACATATCTGGAGTTGTCTCACTTTCCAGACTAGTTATTACTTTTATTCCATTTATTTATCAGATT